GCGTTTTCGGGGCCGCCCCTGGTTGCGGGCACTACGAGCAGACGGTCTCCATGGGCGAGAGTCACTGGCTTCTCATGGCATTGAATTCGTCGCGCTAGCATTCTAGCCAGCAGCATGGCCTCTCGGCCGACTGCGCGGCCTTGATCAAAGGCGTCGGCGAGCGAGCTTCCTGGGGTGGTTACTCGGCGAAGGGCGGGCACTGGAGACATGTCCGCTCGACGCCCGCGCCCCGCAGCATCGCGAAGGTCGAGGCGCATCTTTCGGGGGGGGCAGCGGAGAGCGAGGCCGAACAAGTTTTAACCCGAGGTAGTGCGCGGGCTGACTGGCCGGCGCAGAGGAGCCATCCGCAACCAATTTTATCTTGGCGGCTTTGAGACGATCAAGCAGGCTCGAGGCGCTTTGAAATTCATCGTTCGGGCGTCGGCCAGGACGCTAGCACCCCGGCTCCAATCTCGCGAGCTCTTCGGGGATCCAGACAGGCCCCCTAGAGCGCCCAGGCTCGCTCAACCAGCTTCCAGACATTTTCAGACTTGGGGTGATATTTTGTGGATGTGTGTGAAGTGCTCCAAACGTTTCAGACGGCCTGAGCGGGCCGCGGGGACCCGCGGGGCCTCCTCCCCGCCCGTGGTGGCCCTGCTCGGTTGCCCTCCGGCCCGCTCGCACCTGTGGCTTGGGGCCCGCGCTCTCAAACACCACTCCCCCGTCCTCTCATGCAATCGCTGCGGGGGCTGGGCGGGGTGGGCGTGGGGGGGGGAGGGGGGGGGGGGGAGGCGCGCGCAGGGCAATAGGGCCCCTCCAGCCCTGCGCGCCGCCCTTTCCAAACCCAGTGCCAGACAGCTCGCCGCGCAACGCCGCGGCGAGCTCTCCTGGCCCCGAGGGGTGGATTTCAACGCCCCTTGGTCCCAAGCGGGGGCAGCGGACTAGAGGCGGCCTTAGCATGTTATTATAATTATCCAAATAGGCTTGCCCTAGATGAGCTCCAATTCGAACCCTGCGAATTGGTCCGTTGCCCCCCCTTTTCCCCGCCCCCTTAATTCCTATGCCCCCCTGATTCCTATGGCTATGCCTATGCGTATGCCTCCCACTAACTCCTATGCGTACGCCTATGCCCATGCCTATGCCTATGCCTATGCGCATGCACCACCTCTGAGCGCGCCTATGTCTGTATTGTATTTTTGCCGATGCACAACCTTTGAGCGCTCCTCCACCTCTTTGCATCATTATCCAAATTGGCTTGCCCTGTAAGAGTCCTAGCCAATCATGAGTATTTGATATTTGGGACCCCCCTTTTTCCAATGCCCCCCCCCCGTTTTCCAATGGCACCCCCCTTTTTCAAATGGCACTTGCTTGCTTGCTCTTGCGTGCTTGCTCTTGCGCTTCCCTGCCCTTGCTTGCTTACGCGTGATCGCTGGCTCTTGCTTTCTTATTATTGCTCGCGTGCCCTTGCGTGTTTCTGTTTGCTTGCTTACGCATTCTTGATGTTGCTCCTCACGTCCTCCTCCCGTCCTGCTCCCGTCCTCTTTTCGTCCTCCTCACATTCTCCTCTCGTCCTCCTCTTGTCCTCCTATCCATTTGGAGTCAACGCTGGCTGATATCATTGTTCGTATGGTTTCAGCAGTACCATCATTCGTACTATTTTTCGTATTCGTATTATTACTATTAGTATTAGTTTTACTGATATCTTTCAGTATTACGAGTATCGTCATTCACATTCGTATAATTAATCGGAGGTTGGGGGGTGAGATCGCAGTGAAAGGGAGATCCCTCACTGGGAAATCGGTTTCGGTTTCGTGTTCGTGTCGTGCGTGCGGGCAAGGCGAAGCTGCGCGTGATCCTCCTGTAGCTAGGCCGAAGTAGGAGCGAAAGTCCGTTCCCGTCCGCCGGTGGCTGGGAGGTGGGCCAGGCGGTGTCCCGGGTGTCCCGGGTGTCAGTAAGAGCGAAAGTCCGTTTCCCGTCCGCCGGTGGCCGGGAGGTGTCCCAGTTGGGCCGGGCGGTGTCCCGGATGTCCCGGGTGTCCCGGGCGTCCCGGCGCTAATGCATGTCGCTAGTTTCATAATTCATTTTGCTCGGCGTTTGCGGCGGGCTTTCTTATCCAATCCAGCTCATCTTATCCAACCCATCTTGTCCAGTCCAATCCATCTTATCTTATCCTATCCAACCCATACTGTCCTATCTTATCTTACCCCACCCAACCCAATTATCAATTCATTTGTTTCTGCGCCTGCGGCGGGCCAACCCAATCCATCTTATCGTATCCAATCCATTTCTTCCAATCCAACCCATCTTATCTTTTCCAATCCATCTTACCCCATCCAATCCAATCCACCCAACCCGATCCATCAATTCATTTGTGTCGGCGCTTGCGGCGGGCTTTCTTATCCAATCCAGCTTATCTTACCCAATCCATGTTGTCCAATCCAGGTCAAGGTGACAGGCTGGAGGTCAGTCAGGGTGGGCATTTGATCTCAATCCCCCCCCCAACCTCCTTATCGCCCCAGGGCGGTATAGGTAAAAATATTGGTGGCACTACTAGTATATTTAGCATCCGTACTACTAGTATTCGTAAAATTGGTAATCGGCTTCTCCCCCATCGAATGGTTTCGGTCGCTACTGCTGTTGCTGCAAAAGAGGAGGACGAGGAGGAGGAGGAGGAGGAATAGTCAGGAGGAGGATGAATCGGTGGAGGACAGGGGGTGGATCGAGGGAAGAAGAGGAGGAAGAGGAGGAGGAGGAGGAGGAGGAGGAGGAGGAGAAGGAAGAGGAATACGAGGAGGAGTCAGGAGGAGCAATAATCGATGGAGGAGGGGGTTATCAAAGGAGGAGAAGGAGGAGGAGGAGGAGGAGGAGGAGGAGGAGGAAGAAGAGGAATAGGAGGAGGAGGAGGAGGAGGAGGAGGAGGAGGAGCAGGAGCAGGAGCAGGAGCAGGAGCAGGAGCAGGACGAGGAGGAGGAGGAGAAGGAGGAGGAGGAGGAGGAGGAGGAGGTATATGAGGAGGAATAGAAGGAGGATGAGGAAAAGAGGAGGAGAAGGAGGAGGAGGAGGAGAAGGAGTTCTGGCTTGGAGTGGTGGTCGCTGCTGGTGTGAAGGGGGCTCGAACGGGACCCAGACCTCCGACGTCGCGCTTCTTCTCGCAGCGTGGACGCCTCCCCCCCCAGAGGTCTCGACCCCGTCCCTTGTTTGCGGGCTGCCCCAGGGGCTTGGCACGGCCAGCAGATGCCGAAACGGAAGCACAGCTTCGCATCATGGCACCGCGGCCGCTCTGGTCGTGTCGGGCAGCCCCGGAGCTGTCTCGGCGAGGCGCAGCTGCTGGAGAGCATCCCGAAGCGACCGAACTTCCAAGAACCCGAGGAGAACCGCTGATGCTCCCGATCACTTTCGAGATTTCGGCCGACCTCCTGGTGGGGGTCCTCCTCGGAAAGGCGCGAGGAGGTGGGGGCCCAGGGGCCGATCCCCAACCCCCCCCTGGACCTCTCCCAGGCTGCGTTCTAGCCAGAAGTTGATGCGAACCCGGGTGTGGCGACAAGGGGGCCGAGAAGAACCCAGAGATGCCCAAGCACCTCGATCTTCGAGCCTCGACTCTCGAGACACCTTCCGACGATACGATCTTTTCAGTGCTCGGCCCCAGGAGCGTCCCGACCCCTGCCGCAGGGGTAGCTTTGCCGCTTCGGATCCACTTCTGATGGCCACGGGGCCTGGCAGCGGGCCCCGGAGGTCGACGATCGAGGGGCAGCCTGGCAGAGCTCCCTAAGAGCAGCAGACTTGAAGAGGCGGGTCGAGGCGTAGGAGGTCGGATATACGTATAGGGGGCAGGGGCGAGAGTCGAGAGCACGGCCATGTGCACCCTAGTTGAGGCGCCTGAAGCTTGGCATCGCTCGGACGTGTGCATGTTTTCTCGGCGAGAACCATCGAGGACCAATCTGGACCATCGAGCATTTAAAGCAACATGCACGGGAGATGGACGTCCGAGCGACGGCAAGGAAGAGGCTGTGAGAGAGTCTCGGGCAGAGCGCCTGCCAGGCCGGGCGATCCAAGGGGTCGGTCTCGGGCTCCCCGCCCCCCTTGTGGGACTGCTTCTTGTTTCCTTTCTATATGGCGAAATTGCGAACCCTTCTTGTGGGAACCCTTCTCTCCTCCCTTCTCCTTCTTGTGGGAACCCTTTATGGCGAAATTGGATGCGGAAAACGCAACATCAATGTCATTTCTCGCGGATCCGCGCGGAGTTCTGGGATCGGCCTTGGGCCCCCCCTGGAGGCGCCTCAAGGCGCCAGGGTCGTTCGCATCGGGGGCCCGGCGTCGTGCCAATAACTCCGCGCGGACCTTCGAGCGCTTATGCTTTTTGTTGCCGTTGCTTTTGATTAACTTTTCTCAGCGTCGCTCACGAGAGGTCTCGACCCCTTCCTCGGGCCCAGCATTCTGGGCCAGATCACCAGCTAACACATCCTTGGAACCCTTTTATGGCGAAATTGGATGCGGAAAACGCAACATCGTGGAGGAGGAGGAGGAGCAGGAGGAGGAGGAGGAGGAGGGGGAGGAGGAGGAGGAGGAGGGGGAGGAGGAGGAGAAGGAGGAGGAGGAGGAGGAGGAGGAGCGCGGAGTTCTGGGATCGGCCTTGGGCCCCCCTGGAGGCGCCTCAAGGCGCCAGGGTCGTTCGCATCGGGGGCCCAGTGTCGTTCCAAGAAATCCGCGCGGACCTTCGAGCAATTATGTTTTTATGCCGTTGCTTTTGATTATCTTTTCTCAGCGTCGCTCACGAGAGGTCTCGACCCCTTCCTCGGGCCCAGCATGTTGGCCCGGATCACCAGCTAACACGTCTTTGGAGATTTGGGTTCGACGCCAGGGCTACCAGAGTCGTGCGCGCAGGTCAGCTTCTCCTGGAGCTCCTGCCGCCAGGCGTCTGGCTGGTTCCCGTCGTCGTCGTCGTCGTCGTCTTCGTCATCGTTGTCCTAGTCGTCCTCGCCAGCGTTATCGTCGTCGTCCTCGTCTTCAAAGAGGGACGCTAGGCCTACCAGAGCATGGCGAAGCGGTTCAACCAGATCGACGAGAACGTGCGGGAGCTCTGTCCCCTTTAGGGGGGGAGGAGCGTGGTGCTGGCTTGGGTTGGGATCGGAGTACGGAGGAGGATGGATGATGATAATGATGATTGCGAGGGAGAGGAGGGGGAGGGGCAGCAGAGAGTAGGGAGTGGAGAGTAGTGAGTGGTGAGTAGGGAGGACAATAAGGATAGAGGAGAATGATGATAGCTCTGTTGCCGATGATGATGAGGCTGCTGATGATGATGGTGCAGATGAAGCAGAAGAAACTGATGAGGATGAAGGTGAACAAGAAGCGCATGAATAACACATTGAGTACGAGTAGGTAGTAGTAGTAGTAGTAGTAGTAGTAGTAGTAGTAGTAGTAGCAGTAGTCGTAGTAGTAGTAGTAGTAGTAGTAGTAGTAGTAGTCGTAGTAGTCGTAGTCGTAGTCGTAGTCGTAGTCGTAGTAGTAGTAGTAGTACTAGTAGTAGTAGTAGTAGTAGTAGTAGTAGTAGTAGTAGTAGTAGTAGTAGTAGTAGTAGTAGTATTAGTAGTAGTTGTTGTTGTTGCAGCAGCAGCAGTTATAGTAAAAGTAGTAGTAGTAGTAGCAGTACGTAGTAGTAGCAGGTAGTAGTCGTAGGTAGTAGGAGGTAGTAGTAGGCAGTAGTAGTAGTAGTAGTAGTAGTAGTAGTAGTAGTAGTAGTAGTAGTAGTGGTAGTAATCGTAGTAGCCGTCGTAGCCTTAGTAGCACTAAAAGTAGTGGTGGTGGTGGTAGTAGTAGTAGTAGTAGTAGTAGTAGTAGAAGTAGTGGTAGTAGTAAGAGTAGTAGTACTAGTAGTAGCAGTAGTAGTAGTAGTAGTAGTAGTAGTAGTAGTAATAGTAAAAGTAGTAGTATTACTAGGTAGTAGTAGTAGTAGCAGTAGTAGTAGTAGTAGTAGTAGTAGTAGGAGTCGTAGTAGCAGTAGTAGTAGAAGTAATAGTATTACTACTACTACGATCAGTATAGTGGTAGTAGTAGTAGCAATAGTTCCTGGTAGTAGTAGTAGTAGTAGTAGTAATAGTAGTAGTAGTAGTAATAGTAGTAGTAGTCGTCGTCATCGTCAAAATAGTAGTAGAAGGAGAAGTAGTTGTAGTAGTAGTAGCAGTAGTCGTGCGAGCAGTAGTAGTAGTAACAGTAGTCTAAGAAAATGAAGAAGTATAAGTGGTAGTTGTAGTAGTAGTAGTAATAGCAGCAGGAGTACCAGTAGTAGTGGTCGTAGTCGTAGTCGTAATCGTACTCGTAGTAGCACTAGTAGTAACCCGAATAGTCTTGTTAGAAGAAGTATAAGTAGTAGGTGTAGCAGTTACGGCAGCAGTACCAAGAGTAGATATGGGCGTCGTAGTAGTAGTAGTAGTAGCAGTAGTAGGAGTAGTGATAGTAGTAGTAGTAGTAGTAGTAGTAGTAGTAGTAGTAGTAGTAGTGGTACTAGTAATAGAAGTGGTGGAGGTGGTGGTGGTCGTCGTCGTAGTATTGGTAATCGTGTTCGATCTTACTTGTAGTAGTAGTAGTAGTAGTAGTAGTAGTAGTACTAGTAGTAGTAGTAGTAGTAGACGTCGTACAAGCAGTAGTAGTAGTAGTAGTAGTAGTAGAAGTAGTAGTAGTAGAAGTCGTAGTAGTGGTAGTAGTAGTAGTAATAATAGCCGTAGTAGTAGTAATAGTACTAGTAGTAATAATATCAGTAGTAGTAGTAGTAGTAGTAGTAGTAGTAGTAGTAGTAGTAGTAGTAGTAGTAGTAGTAATAGTAGCCGTAGTAGTAGTAGTAGTAGTAGTAGTAGTAGTAGTAGTAGTAGTAGCCGTAGTAGTAGGAGTATTATTATTAGTAGTAGTAGTAGTAGTAGTAGTAGTCGTAGTCGCATTGGCGCTGGTACTACTAGTGGTGGTCGTAGTACTAGTAGTAGTAGAAGGAGTAGTAGCAGTAGTAGTATTAGCAGTGGTAGCAGGAGTAGTAGTAGTAGTAGTAGTAGTAGTAGTAGTAGTTGTAGTAGTAGTAGTAGTAGTAGCAGTAGTGGTCGTAGTGCCCGTACGAGTGGAGTATTGTTTCTGGGACTTGCGTTCGTTTTTGTAGTCGCACGCGTAACGTGATGTGTTCGCACTCATGATTCCGCTTGGTATTTATGTCGCACCGGACCCCCTATACCCATGATCTACACATTTGCGCGGCGCGCGAACTTACAAGCCCCTATTTCCTGACCTCCAGGGATATGCCGTCACATGGCAGCCAGACCCGACTGTATTCAGTGCGACATCGAGCCCATTAAGCATCGAACCATAGACCAGACATATACATCTTGTGCGCAACGTTTGCCCACAATCCTGCTGGCGCACGTCGCGCGAAAAATGCAGCCGTGAAAAAGCCCCAGAGCATTGCCGCGACCGCGATCAATTTTTTTGTTATGGCGCACGAGTGACTATGTAGACGAGCTCGAGGCGTGGGTGCTCAGCCTCGAGCGCTTCATGCACCCCGGTCTTGCCACGTGCAGGGGCTCGATGTTTCTGCTACTGTCTTGATCCAGAGGCCTGCTTTTGTGAAAGTTTTGCAAGGGAGGGGTCGGGCGGGATCTCTGTGGGGCCGCGCACGATGATAAAGACCACGCCGCCGGATGTCTGGGCCTGGGGACCCCCGAAATCCGAGGAATGCTTCCTTTATCGGGCGCTAATTGCTTACAGGCCGGTCGTTGAAAGTCGGTATTCATGGGCATCCGGATCTCAATTTATTCAAGCGCCTTCTTACTTCAAGAATCGACATGCTTTTGCTGTGTTTAGTTGGTCTTCGTGAGGGCCTGAACCCAATCTACTTTATCCGCCTTCATACATCATGTTTTTACTTACTTATTCCGGCCGACGGGTAACTGTGAGCGATAAATGCGGGGGGGAGGTACGGACGACCAGGGCCACTTCCCAGCCACACTCCCCCCCGCCCCCCTTCGGACGTACCCCAAGCGGTGAGTTCCCTGCGTCTGTCTTGATGTTGCTTCTCTCGCATCTGCGTCAGCTTTGCGCAGTCCCTCTTGTTGAGTCCCTCGTAGCAGAACCTGAAGGACCTTCAACGCGCTGAATCCCAGAATCCCAGGATTAGCATACATCGCGCACCAATAATCTCGCCATTCTTTTGAATATACACCAACTAAGTTTCATTATTATGCTATGTTGCTTGATCCCTGGTTTTTGAGGTCTTGGGCCCAAGTCAGTGCCAGGAGCCAGGAACCAGGCAAAATAGCAAAACACATATTTTTGTTTCAAAAGTTGCTACTTCGCCTGATCACTGGAATGTGAGGTCCTGGGCCCAAGCGAACCCCAGGAACCAGGGATCGGGCAAAACAGCAAAATTTCTAAACATTCGATGTGTTTTATGTTTCTGTTACTAGATCCCTGGTTTTTGAGATCGTAGGCCCAAGTGAATCCCAGAGCCAGGGATCGGGAGAAGTAGCAACATGTTTCAAATCTTCAGAACTTTTAGATATCTTGCCTATTTGCCTGGTCCCTGGTTTCTGAGGTCCTGGCCCCAAGTGGATCCCAGGAGCCAGGGACTGGGCCAAATGTCAACAAAACAAACATCAAACATTGCATTCGAAGATTTCAGATGTTTGCTATGTTGCCTCATCTCTGGATTTCGAGGGCCTGGGGCCAAGCGAATCTCAGGAACCAGGGACCGGGCAAAATAGCAACACATTGTAAACATCGATTTGTGTTTGCTGTTTTGCCTGATCTTTGGATTTTGAGATCTTGGGCTCGAGTGAATCACAGAGACCAGGGGTCAGGCAAAATAGCAATTCATTTTCTCGCCAACAAAACAAAGAAACATGCTATTTTGCTTGATCCTTGAATCTTAAGATCCTGGGCTCAAGTGAATCAAAGGAACCAGGGGGGAATCAGTCGAACCAGCAAGGTCACTATGACGTCATTCCGGAGTTAAATCATTCACACATGATTCTTTCTCGCCAGGTTCACAACGACTTACTTCTGGAGTTAAACGGCTCATGGCTGACGCTCCTCCCCGCCCCCAGAATCACTGAACTCCGGAGTTAATTGATTCCCTAGGCCGCGTTGGCCCTCGCCCGGCGGGGAAACGGAAGCCAGTGGCCACTACGCGAAACAAAAAGAAACGGCGCGAAAAGGACAGGAAACGGAAGGAAACGAGGGGGAACTTGACGGAAAAGGGAGGGGAAAGGGAGGGGCACGGAAGGACAAAGGAAGGTCACAGAACGAACAGGGAATAACACGGAAAGAGACGGGAGGGAAACGGAACGAAAAGGGAGGGGAACGGAAGGAAACGGGGGACCTGGAAGGAAAAAGGAGAGACACGCAAGGAAACGGAAGGGAAACGGAAAGACACGGGAGGTGAGGAAGCGGAAAGAGAAGGGGAGGGGCACGGACAGGATACATAAGGAAAGGGAGGGAAGCGCGGAGAGCGAACGGAAGGAAACAGGGAGGGACATTGGGAAAGGAACCAGAGGGAAATTGAAGGAAACGGAAGGACACATGAAGGACACGGAAGGAAAGGGAAGGAAGGACATCGGAGGGAAAGGAAGGAAACGGGAAGGAGTTAAATATACAAGTGATGGACAGGAAGGGAACGGGAGGGAAACAGAGGGAAAAGTGTGGGAAAGGAAGGATATGGAAACATAGGGAATGGGGTGGAAAGGAAGGGGCACCGAAGAAACACAGAGGGAAAACAAGGAACGGGCAGGGCAACCTAGGGAACGACACGATTAGGGAGGGACACGCAAGGACACGTCTTCTCTTCGTCATCGTTTCTTCAGGTCTCCGTCTCTCCCAAATATCATCCAATGTTTCGGTTTTCCCGTCGTCCTCCTTAACAGGACTATTGGCAAAAGCGAGCATGACAACGCATGCTAAGCGCGCGCGCGTGGCATACGCAAGCGCACATACACGCACGCACACAAAACATATACTTACACACAAACATGTAGTTGCAACGACAAGTTGGGTGTTCCAGGAAGGGCTTCGCCTCGACAGATGGAGCAATTTGATTATTTATTCGGTTGGAGGTCCGAGAGAGTCGGCGGAAATGCAACGGGCGCGGCTCCGCCGGCGGAAGGCCGGCGGAAGTTTGCGGAAGCAAAACACGCTCCCGCAAAGCGTGCCGATGTTTGTGGACTCGTGGTTTCCAGATTGAGCTCGTGGGTCCAGGCTTTCTTGGGTTCCTGAGTTTGGGGGCTCCCCGTTTTTGTGCTTTCATAGTTGGCCGCAGAAAAATGTGCCTGAATGGTGCCCTATCGGCTGAGACTCCTGCAGGCTTCGCCACCGTGCCGCCGCAGCGTTTGAGGGCGTAGTAATTTGGAGGATGAGTGAACTCATGCTGGTGATGGTGGCGACGATGATGATGAACACGATGATGATGATGATGCTGATGATGATGATGCTGATGATGCCTACGGTGATGATGATTACGATGACGATGATGATGTTGACGATCTCGATGGTGATGACGATGATGGTGATGGTGATATGATGACGGTGATGGTGATGGTGATGGTGATGTTGCTGCTGATGATGACGATGACGATAATGATGATGACGAGGATGAAGATGACGATGCTGATGCTGATGGTGGTGATGATGATGCGGATGATGAGGGCGCGGCGTTCGCCCCCGTACCTCAGCGGGAGGGCTTCGTTTCAGGGGGCCCCACCCCTTACCCTGGTGTTCTCCTCATCTTCTTCCTATTCGTCCTTGTCGTCGTCGTCGTCGCCCTTTCCATTTTTTGCCGTTCAGTCGTCGCAGGACCTAACCCAACGCCGCGGCGACTTAACTCCAAAGTTAAGTCTGTGCCAGGCTGGTGTGCGCGGCGTCGGAATCACTTAACTCCGGAGTTAATTCGTTTGATGGCTGGCGCGTCCGCCAGTTCGGTGGCGACTTAACTCTGGAGTTAAGTCTTCCGCGACTTGGCGCTTGTCTCGGAGTCGGGCCGACTTAACTCCGGAGATAAGTTGTGGATAACCTCCCGGTTTCAGTCGCTTCCGTTTTGTTGAGCATCTAAGCTCTTTGTTGAATATCTATATATATATATATGCATATATATATATTTGGATGATCCCCGATTCTGTATTCCAGCGCGCTGGAAGCCGTGAAATGGGGCAAACATGTTTATTGATGGATCAGGCGCCAGCCCCAAAAGGACGCCTGAAATCAACAGCGCGCCACCTCAACATCGACCGATGCAGCCCAGCAAAGCCGATCGCATTTATCGGGAAACGCCATACGGCATTGCAGGTGCTTCAAGTCGGTTATTCGGCTGGACTCTAGAGAAGAAGGGCGCCGTGCTAGTAGGAGGGCGGGTGTAACAGTGAGGTGCGGTGGCGTCGTCCAGCCACGCTTCCACATGGACGTCGCCGCGTGCATAGCACATGTGGGCGTGTCACGACATGCTACAACAACTAAGTCTCCATTTTGTTCAACCACGCTGCCACACGGAGCCTGGTTCGTGCAGAATAGATTGGCCTTCGTGTGGAAAAGTGAGAAATTGGGCATGACAGAAAAACATAAACATGTCTAAGTTGTTGTCATGCATTCTTAAGCATTGTCATTTGTACAACGTCATATATCCTGCACGTGGCCACTCTTGCCTGGCAGCGTGATTAAACACCACGGCGTCTTCATTTCTCGTTGTTTCAATCGGTCGTTCGCGTGTCGTGACCGTTGCCTCTTCCCTCGCAAGGCGTGGCAGACAAAGCGGTGCCCGCGCCACCGTGTAGAATACGTAGGTGTGTAGCGTGCTTGTGTCTTTCTGTATGATGCGCTATGTTCGCGCAGTGCGCTTACGAAAACTAGTGTGGCGAGTTGACTTCATTAGTTGCGAGCGTCATTGATACCACCCACACCTTGAACACATACAATGCGTATTTCGATGTTTCCCATGGGTCCCATATGCTTTCTCAGGTGCTCGCAATGTCATATATATATATATGTATAAGCACATGCCCGTGTAGACAGGTGTATAACTACGTGTACAGATATACATGGATAACTAGTTTCCTAAACGTTGCATTTATAACAGTATACCAATGAGTACAGACTGGTATACATGTATGAACTTCCAGACATACCGGATGTATGTAGACGCGTATGCATATGTATACAAATGTTGTTAGTGTCCACGTATGTAGATGCGGATTCATGGGTATCCTCATGTCTCCCATGTGTTCGCAATGATGTAGACATACACATAGTTTGCACATGTATGCATACAAACATATTTTACACAGGTGCATATACACGTATATGTATACATGTGACTAGTCATGCGTGCATGTAGATGTGTATTAGTCTGTATATATGTATGGAACTATATATACATATATTGCATATGTCGTAAACATATGTGTACATACATACGCATGTAGGCCTACATACATATCTGTATACGTGTACAAATATGTCTACATATGCTGATACAGCCGTCAAAGCAGTAGTGTGCATAACTGAGCATCCCCTAAACAATGCATGCACTTAAGTGTTCTGATTTGGCTTGCGCTGGGTTTTGATGGGCGTGCCGAGGATTCGTTGCCGCCCACGCCGCCGCTTAGCCGCCTCGCTGCCGCATCCTCGCGGCCTCGCGCGCTAGGCGGGCGGCCGAAGTAGAGGGGGGAGACGAGGAGGGGGAGGGGGAGGGGGAGGAGAAGAGGAGGATCAGGTGGAGGAGGAGGATGAGGAGGATGATGATGAGGAGGAGGAGGAGGAGGAGGAGGAAAAGGAGGAGGAGGAAAAGGAGGAGGAGGAGGAAAAAGAAGTGGTGGAGGAGGAGGAGGAGGAAAGGGAAGAGGAAGAGGAGGAAAAAGAGGAGGAGGAGGAGCAGGTGAAAGAGGATGAGGAGGACGAGGAGGAGGAGGAGGAAGAAGAAGATGAATAGGAGGGGTTGGAAGAGGAGAAGGAAGAGGAAGAGGATAATGAGGGATGCTCTGGAGCAGCAAAGGGCTCCTGCGGTGCCATTTTTCGGTGCTTCCTGGACCGTCTGAGGGGCTCTTGGGGGGCCTAGGGTGTTTGGGGGCCTTCCTGGGGGGGGGGTCCTGGGCCGTCTGGGGGGCTCCGAGCGGAGGGCGGGGGTGGGGGGGGGGACGGCTGGGAAGTGACCCTGGTCGTCGCGACGGAGAACCGTGCACCTTTCGTGCCCCTTTGGGCCCCAGGGGGTCTCTTTCAGGGCCCCTTCTAGGGCACAAGAGGTGCACATTTTCTCACCCCCCCCCACTTATCGTGTCCGCATTACTGGAAGCCACCCTCTTATGCCGCCCCCGCCTGCCCATGGGCGAGGCTCTCGAGGTGGAGCTGGGCGCGGGCACCGGCGAGGGAAAGCGGCAGTTGGGCCAGGCGCCCATCTACGGGCTCCTGCCTGTTGTGGCAGATTCGTGTCGTGTCTTCGTATTGGCGGCCCCATCGTGGGCGTTCAACGCTGAACGCCGCCAGTGTCTCAGACTCAGCCGATGGCCCATGGCGAATGACCTGCGTTACTAGAAGGCCGCAATCGTCCAAGGGTTGAGCGATCCACGCTGTGTCAGAAACGCAGAAGTCGCCACGACAGGAGCCTGCCGTACGGCTCGGATGGGGGGGATGGGGAGATTCGAAGAATAAAGAACTGCATGAACATTACCTTTCGGAGGTCCGCGCGGATTTCTTGGATCGGCGTTGGGTCCCCCTCCCTGGCGCGCGGAGCGCGCCAGGGGCGGCGCCGGATGCGGCCAGGGGGGCCCAACGCCGATCCAAGAAATTCGCATCTCCGAAAGTTGATGTTTACGCGCTCTTCGTCTGGAGGCGCAAGTAGGAACGGGGGAGGCGGAGCAAGGATCGGATACCTCCGGGAGGGGGGCACGGAGGGATGAGAGAGGGAGGGAGGGTGCAGGAAAGAGGGATGATGATGATGAGGAGGAGGAGGAGGAGGAGCAGGGAGTGAAGGAGGGAAGGAGAGAGGGAGGGAGGAAGGGAGGGAGGGAGGGAGGAAGGAGGCGGAGGAGGAAAAGGAAGGGAGGGACGGAGAAAGGGAGAGGGAGGAGTGAAGAAGGGAGGGAGGGAGGGAGGCGGAGGAGGAGGGAGGGAGGGAGGAGGAGGGAGGGGAGGGAGGGAGGGAGGATAATGAGGGGGAGGGAGGGAGGCAGAGAGGGAGTGTCAAGCTAGGTGCGCTCGCGTCATATCTGACGTCCTACCCCTCCCTCCCATCCCTTACCATGGCGCTGATTTTCTCTATCCGCGGACGCGTGTCGTAGCGGACCTGTGGCTCCGCGCGCGCGTGCGTAGTGGGTGGTGGTGCGCGTGCGTGCGTGCGTGCGTGTGTGCGTGGTTGTCGTGGTGGTGGTGGTGGTGGTGGTGGTGGTGGTGGTGGTGGTGGTGGTGGTGGTGGTGGTGGTGGTGGTGGTTGGTGGTGGTGGTGGTGGTGGTGGTGGTGGTGGTGGTGGTGGTGGTGGGTGGTGGTGGTGGTGGTGGTGGTGGTGGTGGTGGTGGTGGTGGTGGTGGTGGTGCGGCGCGGTGGTGGCGGGCGGATGGGCGCGCGAGAAAGAGGCCCGCGCTGGGGCGAGAACGCCATCCTGAACGACGGAGGCCAAACACCGATCCGAAAATGAGGCCCACGCTGCAGCGGGAGCACGATTCGGAACGATTCGGGAGCAGAAATGGGGCCGGCGCCTCAGCGAGAGCAGCATTTTGGAAAACAAAAAAAAAAAACGCAGGCGACAACCCGTTTCCCGGGAATCCTGTGTGTAAAAAAACAGTACGCGGGGGGGGGGTCGGATATCTTCGGGACGCCATCAGGGGAAGTGGGAGAGTATTTTCATATTGTGTAATTGTGGAGGAGGAGGAGGAGAAGGAGGAGGAGGAGGAATACGAGGAGGACGAAGAGGAAGGAGCGCGCCGCACCGCGGTGGCGGCGTCTGGAGGCAAGGGGAGCGGGCAGGGACGAGACGGCGCCCGCAGGGGCACGGTGCGGGGGGGGGGGCAGCCCGGAAGCCGACGCAGCGAGGTCGTGTCGGGCCAGGAACAGCGAGGCGGCGGGATAGCCGCCATTTTTGGCGGAGGGCTGCTCGAGATGTGGAGGACGATCAATGGAGAGGAAGCATGTGGCCAAATAATTTCCCAGAAGTCTAAAACATGTGTTGAACATGGTTTTTAAACATGTTTGAAACATGTTTAGAACATGTCTCCGACATTTTGGATACACTTTACATTGATGGGACTGTTGGGTGTCCATTGTCGTGGCATCCACAGTGCTCGAGACACCAGCAATTGGCCTTCAGGGGGCCCCCTCGTCGCCACGGCTGGGCGCAGCTCGGGAAGTTGGTGCGTTCGGGCCCTGGGAGGGGCCCGGGGACCAATTTCGAGCTGGGTTTGGGGTTTCCAATGTCTCGCCCTTCTCGGGCACGTCGTCAACGTGTGATTTTCTTTCAGAAGTTTTGGTGGACGGCGGTTGTAGTCGATCCGCTCTGCGTCGCACAATTGCATGCCACGCCTCCTCCTCCTGCTCCTGCTGCTCCTCCTCCTCCTCCTCCTCCTCCTCCTCCTTCCTAACCTCCTCCTCCTCCTCCTCGTCATCCTCCTCCTTCTCCCTTCTCCTCCTCCTCCTCTGTTCAAGTTGCGATGTGTTCTGCGAGTCGAAGCCATCTTGCCGAAGTCTAGCTCAGCTCCGAGGTCGAGCTTCGAGGGTCGAGTTCTGTCCCAAGCGGTGTTGGGTCCTCGCTCTGAGCCCCCAGCGTCCAGCGTCCTTCCTTCCGATGCCCCCCTCCTCTCTGTGCCTCTGCTCTCCGCGTGTCCTCGTGGTCGTCGTCATCCTCAACAACATCATTACAATCCTCCTCTTCCTCCTCCTCCTCCTCATCATCATCACCAGGAAGATCATCATCATCATCATCAGCAGCATCGTCATCACCAGCATCAGCATCAGCACTATCATATTATCAGCAATAGCAGCAGCACCATCATCACCATCGCCATCATCATCATCGTAGTCGCCGTCGTCGCCGTCATCATCATCACTACCATCATCACCATCATCATCATCATCATCATCATCATCATCATCACCATCATCATCATCATCGTCATCGTCATCGTCATCGTCATCGTCATCATCGTCGTCATCGTCATCGTCATCGTCATCGTCGTCATCATCATCATCATCATCATCATCATCATCATCATCATCATCATCATCATCATCATCATTATCATCACCTTCATTTCATCATCATCGTCGTCATCATCATCCTCACCTGGAGCTCGGCGGCGACCGTCCGAAAGCAGTTCGGTGGGCTGAGAGGCCATGGAGGTGTACCTCTTCCCGGCACCCACCTGCAGTCCGTCGGATACAAGCCTCGCACTCTCGCTTGCGGAGAGAAGGCGCCGCTCTTCCTGCCGGTCCTCGTTCCCCGCGGCTCCGCCACAGATGCAGCGATAAGTTTAGGTTTAGGTTTTGCTTAGGTTTGCCGACCGACCGGCCAGCGGCCAGCACTTATAGTCGGCAGCACTAGGGGCGAACCCCTCGCCTTCGGACGCTCGCCGAGTGCTCCCTGACGCGCGGGGTCACGGCACAGCGGTTCGCGCCGAGCTGGCGAGCGAGGGGGGGGGGAGGAGAGGAGGAGGAGGAGGAGGAGGAGGAGGAGGAGGAGGAGGAGGAGGAGGAGGAGGAGGAGGAGGAGGAGGAGGAGGGGTACGTCGGCCCGCTCCGACCTTATCTATGGGAGGTCCAGCGGGATTATCGGCACCGCGGCCCTGCCGCTGTAAAGCGTTTTTTTTATTTTGGGGGCGTCGGGGGGGCCAATGTGCCCTGGGGGATGCCAGGAAACCGCGGTGCTCTCTGGGCTGGGTTGGAAGCGCGGGGTCTACGTGGCCCGCCGCGGGGGGAGGTGTCAATGCTCTCTCCCCGCTCGCTCCCTGTGCTTGCCGCCGCCGCCACCGACGCTGCCTGCAGCTGCGAAGGATTGGCTCGAAGACCGAGCGGAGGATTGCGCGCGTTCTGCACGCGCGCGAGGGTGAAGGGGAGGAGGATCGTCCCGTCGTCGTCCTCTCCTACTTCATTCCTACAGATCCGAAGTATATCTGAACGCATCCATCATGGGCGGTGAGGCCCATAGTACACCATCACCGTTTCTCCCCGCCTTTCGCCGGGAATCATGGTCCTCTGGCGAATGAGTCAGCGCGGCCCGCGGTCCCGAGCCCGCTCGCGACAGCGCGAGTTCGGGCATGATTCAACTAGATTGGTCTTTCGGCCGCGATGCGGAGGCTGGAGATCGCGACGGCCGAGGCAGGACGGCCTTGCTCGGCTTCGCGCGCTGGTGCGCAGGCATGTGCTTTCCTGAACTGGACCGCCGGCTCGAGGTTTGCATCTTGCTGGTGGCACTGCGGTCCGCGTCTTCTTCGCATTCGCCGTATTGACGCTCATGTCATTGCTCCTTGAACCTCGTGGCCGCAAACTCCCTCGTGGTCACCGCGTCACCGCGTCCTGCCACTTCGCATGCTTGAGTTTGGCCACCTCATGCCGATGCCTTTTCTCCCAAACCAAAGGCATGCCTGTGGCCCTTTCCGGAATGATGATCGTAACCCCTCTCGTGGACAACATCTGCTGTAACCAAACACCCATTCACCAAGTGGTCCAAGAGTATGTGGACGCAGGACCAAGATTGAGACCAAGCGAAGCGAGCCCTCAAATATTGTGTATATAAACCTATATACATCATATAAACAAATAGGCCCCCCCCGGCCTGGCCCGGCCCACCCGGCAACCGTCAGGGGAAACCCGCTGACCCCCCCCCCGTTTCGCTCCCCAGAGGCGGCCTGGAGAGGCCAAGAAGGTGCCAAAAGAGCCAAGAGGGTTCCAAGAGACCCCCAAAACGGTGCAAGAAGGTCCGAGCTGCCCAACACGGCCCAGGAGGGCTCCGAGAGCATTCCCAAGAGGGACCCAAGAGGCCCAAATCATTAGATTCCCATGGGGAAACGTACATGTTTAGAATGTGCGATTGTTCAGCTGTCGCGGCTGTCAAGGCGGTCCAAGAAGCCCCCCAGACTCCCCCAAGACAGCCCAAGACGTTCCCAAGAGGCCCCCGAGCCAGGCCAAGAGGGCGCCAAGACGGCCCAAGGGCCGCCTAAGACGGCCAAGTTGGCCCCATGACGGCGCCCAAGACGGCCCCGAGTCGCCCAAGACGGCCCAAGATGGCCCAAAAAAGGTCCAAGAAGGCTCTGAGGCGTCCCAAGAGGCCTCCAAAAACACTCCCAGGAGGGCCCCAAGAAACCACAATCGTCGCTCCACCCCTCGAGTCCCTGTCATCCTCCACCATATGAGAATGAAAAGAGTCCGACAAGTTTTGTCAGCCGTGGATATCTGATCCGTGCGTTCGACGTTTCGACAACCGTCATGTTCACATCCGTCTCACGCCGCAGCGCAGCTCTGCTATGGAGGTGGGCATTGTCCGAGGACGCGGTCATCAGCTTCTTTGTTGCATCCGGGAGGTAACAGTTTCTCCTGCTCTTCCGTCCGTTGCCAGGTCCAGGGGGAGCTGGCAAAGATCCACGAGTCGCTCGCACAGGCGCTCTTGCCCAAGACTACTTCTATGATTTGCCAACAGCGAAGCGCCGTGTGCCCATTATTCTTTATCCGTCCTCCTCGTCCCTCGCTTGTGGGAGGAGGAGGAGGAGGAGGTGGAGGAGGAGGAGGTGGTGGACTACCGTAGATTCGTGCCTGCACGGCACGACGCCCCAGCACAGGCGTTCAAAATTGACCGCCCATGGCGGTCTTGACTCGGCCGGGATCGAACGATCCGCGCTATTGGAAAACGGCGATCGTTCAAGGTTGAGCAATCGACGCGGTGTCAAAAAGCAACGCCGGCGTCGTCGCGACACGACCTTGTTGTAGGTGGCGGCGGAGGAAGAGGGAACAGTTGATGACGAAGAGGGGAGGAGGAGGTGGATGGCAAGGAAGAGGCGAGGCGAGGATGAGGGAGGAGGAGCAGCTGAAGGAGGAGGAGGAGGAGGAATGAGGCTCCACCGTTCCCACCTCCCTTTCCTCCCCCTCCACCCCCGTCCTGATCGTCGAAAGCGACACTAGGCCATAGTCCTCGCCATCGTCCCCCTCCCCGCCCTCTCTTTCCCCTCTACACCCCCACTCCTTGTTCCCCTTCGAATTTGTCCTTCCTCTCCCTCCTTTCTGCCTCCCTCTGTTTCTCGCCGTCGTCCCCCTCTTCCTCCTCCATCTGCTACTTCCCTCTCCTCCCCCTTCCCCTTCCCTTTTCACTCCTCCACCTCCTTCCTCCTCCCTCCTGCTCCTTCCCCATCCTCCTCGTCCTGATATTCAGGGATCCGCATTGGGGAGCGCATCACTCACTCACTCCTCTTCATCCGCCTCTTCCATCCTGCTCCTCGACTCCTCGGCCGCCTCCTCGTCATCCTGGTCCTCTTGGTTCCCGCCCTCCACCCCCATTCCACCATCCCACCTCTTCTCTTGCCTCCCCTCCTCGTATCTACCTCATTACCCTCGAGGAGGAGGAGGAGGAGGAGGAGGAGGAGGAGGAGGAGGAGCAGGGGTAACAATTCTGAGAGGAGAGGTTTGGAAGGAATCGAGGTGTTCAAGGTTTGGCCCAAGAAGGATCTGATACAGCCTTGAGAAGGCCTCCGGAAGGGCCCAAGCCTGCCTCAGAGGCCGCCAAGTCAGCCCGCCGGCAGTGGCTAGCACCCCCCAGGAGCTTCTCGGAAATTCACGGGAACCACACGAGAAAAGGGCTCCACAATCATTGCTGGCCTGACCCTCCCGAAATCCTCAACTCTGAGAGCCCCAGGAAAGCTTCCAGAACTTCTGAGAAAGCCATCCCCGCCGTGGCCCACCCCCTGCGGACTGATTTGCCGCTCCGTGGGCCGAAGGGCCCTCTCTCTCTCGACCCTCTGCCTGGGACCAGTTTTTGTTCGGCTGCACCCTTCGCCAGAGTGGCCTCTAATGCGTGGCCCTCGGGCGCGGAGGGGCCAGACCCAGGCACGCAGGCCGCCGCTCGCATCGCAGGCGGCGATCGGCAAGCCGCGCACCGAAGGTCTCTCTATTACCTGGGGGGTCGCTCCTGCGCGTAGCCGGCTGGCCCTGGGGCACGACAGCATTGGACGAGATGTGGGAAAGATCTCGGGGGCTCTGGGGCAGCTGCCCACCGAGGCAGCTACACCACCACCATGCACAGCGAGGCCCACTCTCGGAGGCAGTGGGGGCGCGCATCAAGAAACCAGATGCTTTTCGTCAGGGTATCCTGGGTTTCTTCGCCCCGCGCGCTGCGCGGCGACTTCCCGCGGCCGTTGAAGGAGCTGCCTTGTTCAGAGTGCTCCAGGTATCCCCTCTGGTGGACTTCGCGCGCGGGTTTTCAGGGTTGGGTTCCTTGCGAGGGTTTCCTGCGGCCGCGCTTGCGCTGTAGCAGGACGGTGCATGGACCCCCCTGGTCGAGGCCAGGAGGCTGCACCAAGAAGCTGGCTGCACGCGACGCGGCAGGCCCGGGCGCGAGAGCTGCACGCACACGTGGCCGCGGGCCTCTCCAGCGCCGGGCCCCCGCGTGGCCAGGCACGCCGGCCCCCCGCCTGTGCATCCAGCGCGCTGCCCCCGCAGGCTCCGCACCTGAGCCCAGCCGTGTGCCCGACTGCCCTGGTAATGGAGGATGACGATTAAGAAATGACCAGTGGGCGTGTTCACGCGGCGGCGCCCGGGATGACGATTAGAAAAAACCGGCCGCGGGCTGGAAAACTATTTCTTAAATCGTTCTCCTCCAGCCAGAAAATTATGCAGAAATAGCAGAAAACTATTTGTTTAATCGTTCTCTCCCATATCCCGCATTACAGTCGAGACGCTGAAATAAGGAACAGTTTGGGTTCGGGAGGGGCTCGATGCTCCTCAGGTTCCTCTGGTGCTGCTCCTCTTGCCCTCCTGGGGCACGGAGGCGCTTACAGGGCCAAGAAGGGGCTTCGCTCCTTACTTGGCGCGCCTTCTTTCAGCAGCCCGACTACGCCCGTGCTGAGGCGCAGCACGTGCTGTGTTCGGGAACGTTCGGGCTGGGCACGTTGCGTGTTGGCTCACCGTGTCGGCCCGCGCTTGGGGGAGCGTATCGCGCCAGACGCACGCTTTCGACCCACGTGTTTCAGGAGGGAGAAAAAACACAGACACAATTAATCGTCGATTCCTAAGAAAATATTCGAAAATATAGGAAGTGGGGGGAAAGACAGAAACCCAGAAAATTATCCCGGCAAAGCAACCTAACAGCGATGTGTATAAGCATCTCTGGAAGCATTCCCCTTACGATTCAGGTGAGAATCCAGTTGTAGAATTCTGCTGCTCTCGCAGTCGCAGTCGCAGTCGCAATGACAGTCGCAGTGGCAACGACCTTAGGATCCAATGGAGTCCTAAGGATTCCTAGGGATTCTTAAGGCATCCTTAGGCGTCCTTAGGAATCCATAGGAATGCTTGGGAAACCTTAGGAATCCTTAGGAATCCTAGGGATTTCTAGGGATTCCGAAGGATTCCTAGGGAACCCTAAGGATTCCTAAGGATTCCTGAGGATGCTTAACTACGCCTACGGATTCCTAAGGATGCCTACGGATTCCTCAGGATTCCTAGGGATTCCTAAGGATTCCTATGGATTCCTATGGATGCCTCAGCCTGCCTCAGTTTCAGCCTCAGCCTCAGCCTGCCTCGGCTTGCCTCAGCTTCAGCCTCAGCCTCAGCCTGCCTCGGCTTGCCTCAGCCTCAGTCTCAGCCTGCCTCGGCCTCAGCCTCAGCCTGCCTCAGCCTCAGCCTCAGCCTGCCTCGGCCTCAGCCTCAGCCTCAGCCTCAGCCTGCCTCAGCCTCAGCCTCAGCCTCAGCCTCAGCCTCAGCCTCAGCCTCAGCCTCAGCCTCAGCCTGCCTCGGCTTGCCTCAGCCTCAACCTCAGCCTGCCTCGGCCTCAGCCTGTCTCGGCCTCAGCCTGCCTCAGCCCCCCCTCCTCCTTCCCCCCCCCCTCACCCCTCCCCCCCTATTCAGCCTCACCTTGTCTCGGCTTCAGCCTGCCTCGGCCTCATCCTCAGCCTCAGCCTCAGCCTCAGCCTGCCTCAGCCTGTCTCGGCCTGAGCCTGCCTCGGCGTCAGCCTCAGCCTGCCTCGGCCTCAGCCTGCCTCAGCCTCAGCCTCAGCCTGTCTCAGCCTCAGCCTGCCTCAGCCTCAGCCTCAGCCTCAGCCTCAGCCTGCCTCGGCTTGCCTCGGCCTCAGCCTCAGCCTGCCTCAGCCTCAGCCTCAGCCTCAACCTGCCCCAGCCTCAGCCTCAGCCTGCCTCAGCCTCAGCCTGCATCAGCCTCAGCCTCAGCCTGCCTCAGCCGCAGCTTGCCTCAGCCTCAGCCACAGCCTCAGCCTCAGCCTCAGCCTCAGCCTGCCTCAGCTTCAGCCTCAGCCTCAGCCTGCCTCGGCTTGCCTCAGCCTCAGCCTCAGCTTGCCTCGGCCTCAGCCTCGGCCTAGCCTCAGCCTGCCTCAGCCTCAGTCTCAGCCTGCCTCAGCCCCAGCCTGCCTCAGTCTCAGCCTCAGCCTGCCTCGGCCTCAGCCTGCGTCAGCCTCAGCCTCAGCCTGCCTCAGCTTCAGCCTGCCTCGGCGTCAGCCTCAGCCTGCCTCGGCGTGCTTCAGCCTCAGCCTCAGCCTGCCTCGGCCTCAGCCTGGCTCAGCTCGGGCATTCAAAATATGGCACAGGACTGGAGTTCTGGGAACACGAAGATCACGAAGTGGCCCACAGTTGGCGGGCAGTCAGAATATGGCACAGGAATGGTGTTCTGGGAACACGAAGAACATGAAGTGGCCTACAGTTGGCTCCGGGCATTCAAAATGTGGCCTGGGAATGGTGTTCTGGGAAGACGAAGAACACGAAGTGGCCTACAGTTGGCTCTGGGCATTTCAAATGTGGCCTGGGAATGGTGTTCTGGTTCAGAATATGGCCTGGGAATTGTGTTCTGGGGAGTCTCCGGATCTCTCCGGATTCCCCCGGATTCCCCCGGCATCCGCCCAGACCCCCCTGGGGAGTCAAGGTGCTCTCTTTTGAGCCCACTAGAAACCTATCAGTCTTCGCTGTTAGGTAATATGGGAAAATATGGGGGACCATTTTATGTGTGTATTTATTTGTGTGTCTTGGGGCCCCTTCAGTGTTGAGCCCCGAGTCGACACGCTCCAGGCTGCGTGTTGCGTATCGGGCAGCTTCCCTGATATCCCGCCTGGCGCTGCGCACCGGCCCTGCACGAGCCTGTTCGGCTTGCCTGCAGCGGCTCCGCAGGCCTGCACTCGGCGGCGAGCCCAGGGGGGGAAGTGAGAGGGAGAAGGCCTTCTCAAAAGGCTCGGAAGTCCCCCGGCCTTCTGAGCAGTTTTTCTCAAGGAGCGTGTTCCTGGAGCACATGCCTCCGACCGCTCCCGTGGTGGAAGGTTCCTGGAAATGCAATCCCGCCTTCTGTATGTGGCCGTTCTGGCTCAGTCCTGCTTAAGCTCCTCCCGAGCCGAGCCCGTAGGGGGGCCGCTCGGGCTTCGAAGCGCAGCGCGGATCGAGAAGGCCTTCTCAACA